GGATGGATGGATGGATGGATGGATGGATGGATGGATGGATGGATGGATGGGTGTGAGAGATGATAGATTGATTGATGATGGATCGATAGATGGATAGACACACAGACATAAAAACAGTGTTTACCTAGATGGCAGATGGCTTTGTATTTCCAAAAGAAAAGATGATACAGAAAAGAAAAAAAAGGGTTTTTTGTTGGGACCAGGAGTTTGCTTCAGGCTCTTGGGAAGCCTGGGCTAGAACATTGTGTGTGGCTCATTTCACAACTGCATCGCTCGATGATGGAAGTTCCAATTTTAATTGCGGTTGTTTGGGGAGCATGCCCTAAAATCAGAGTGAAATCGATCTGCCCCCCCCCCACCCCCAATAGTAGCAAAAACTCACCTAACAAAAGCTGGCTCCACCAGGGTCTCGGGAGGTTTTTCAGCGCGAGGGGTTTTGCAAACGGGGCAGGCCGATTCTGGATCCATTGGCACAGTAAAAAGGCGCTTATTCAACCGATAACAGAAGACACCTGTGGGCATACCAGAAAAAATTACGACAGGGCCCTTTTACACAGAAACCGTGTTGCCAGGTTTCTAGCCCTCATGGCTGCAAAGCGAGGCTAAGAAATGAGCGGCTTGAAACTCTTAATGGGAAGTGGGGCCCTTCACCATGCCTCTAAACCAGGGGGCACTCCCAACTTGGCAACTCAATAAGACTTGTGGACTTCAGCTCCCAGAATTCCTCAGCCAGCCATGGAATTTGCTAGCTAAGGAATTCTGGGAGTTGAAGTCCACAAGTCTCTCTTTAGAACAATTTTTTTTTTAATTTGATTATAGAATAAAATACAAAAATATGAAAGCAAATAATAGGACACAAGGGGAAGGAAAAGGGAAGGGAGGAAAGAGAGAAAAAGTAAAAAGAAAAAGCATTGACTTCCAATTCTCTCTCTCTCTGTTGCAATAGAATAAAAAAAATTAACTATGAACTTCACCATTTTACTTTTCCAAAATAGTAAAAACTAGTTGATAACGTTGTTTTGCCCAGGTATTTATTTATTGGGGGACAATGTCCGGACCAAACGTAATTTCTAATGTTGGATTTTTCCCCTTACCAGAGGGAGCCCCCTTGTGGAGTACTGTGAAGGTGTTACCTTGGCAACTCCACTGTGTGCACAGTAGAAGCCATTTTACGGCAGTACGGTAGAAGCCATTTCAAGGCACAACAGGCTGCATCTTAACAGAACATACACCCCAAGGGGTTTTAGGGAGGTCCTACCCCCACAATATTTGTTTCCAGAGAGTAAGTCATCTGTGTACCAAGTTTGTTTGAGGCGTTCCAGAGTTATGCTGGGACATACACACGCATAGCCATTTTTATATAGAGAGGAGGAAGAGGAGGAGGAAGAGGAGGAGGAAGAGGAAAAGGAGGAGGAGGAGAAGAGGAAGAGGAAGAGGAAGAGGAAGAAGAAGAAGAAGAAGAAGAAGAAGAAGAAGAAGAAGAAGAAGAAGAAGAAATCTTGCCTTACTGATCCCACACAACAGTCAACAATTCCATCAATATTCGCTGGGTTGTTATCTGCTTCTTGCCCTTCTATTACGATACCTGGTTCCTTACAAATGGCCTATATTGTTTCCCTGCACGGTGCCAACTGAGCTGCTAATTATAATGTCATTAAAAGAGAGGGAAAAAGACAACCCAGCCCAGGGCTGTGGCCCCCCCCCCCCCAAACTAATTCAGCTGTGTCGTAGTGGAAACCTCTCCTGTTCACTTACTAAGC